AATTGACTTGTAACTTCGATTCGGCTTATTAAGACTCGGATTCTAGAACGTTTGTGGAATCAGATATTGCCATTCACATTAGTGACCTGCGAGAATTGTGGTAAAGAACGATACTTACGATTGGTTGTTCGACCCTGTTAATCCATCACGTGGACATAAAATTATCACCGACATCACTTGATTATCGTCCGCTTTTACCTCATCATCCTTATTGAGATATCCCCAACAGCATCACATGTAGTTGCTTCACCTTATTATTACCCCTCTTAATATTAAAGCCTTCGTTTCATAGTGTCATATTGTCTCAATAGACCTCCGACAGTTATAAACAACACCCTTCGTTTCTCCAAATTTATCATTATCTCCCCGTATACTGTTGGAGCTAAGTTGGACTTTCGTTCATATAATTTTCCTAAGCTCTCCCATCAACGGTTACAATAAGTTGAAATTTAAAAAGTGATTATATAACCAATTCTGGTAGCGCATTCATACACTTTGTGATTATATCACTCCATTTCTGATATTGTGATCTTTCAAGATTATAACCTTTCGGATAACTCTGAATGGATGATGATAGAGTTGTTACCCGGGTCAGAAAATTGTAACCCGGATCAAAGTAACTCGGGTCAAGGTTCAACCCGGGTCAACGGGTCAAATAGGCAAAAACCAAAATCTGATAAATTTTTCGCTACAAATTAACTTGTCATCGGGCTTTCAATTATATTTTATACCGGACACAATCCCTAACAAATTAAACTGATTTTGTCTGTACAAAATATAATTGAAAGCCCGATGGCAGATTTTCTCTTGGCGACACTCATTTGTAGTATATAGGCTGGGTAGAAAGTGCAGAACCATTCATAATTAGCATGAGCGATGTAATCATTGCGAGATCTACAATAGAATTTAGAGTCTATTGTGCCTATTATAATAGATCTACAATAGAATTTAGAGTCTATTGTGATGTAATAATACGTATGCGAAAGTGAATAAATAAGAAGTTAGACCCGCAAGATCAAACTTCTGATTTTCTTATGTAAAACCGATACTTAAAAAGCCACTATACAATCTTGTGTGTGTAAGGGGAAAGGCTTGCAGAAAGATGAGTTTGTTAGTAACTAAAGCAAGCGCACTATAATCAATAAAACCTATGAGCAAGAGATTAAATGCCACTTTTACACATAAGGATGCATTTTTGAAATTCTGATTCAACTTATCATTATCCATGAAGGACGTAACAAGAAGTGGTTGGTTACGACTCTAATGTGCGGGGTGGGGCACATTAGGTTATAATGAGAAATGTTCACAGAAAGTTATGCCCGTTTTAAAGATTATGTGGGTTCATAAAATTTTTTTAAAGCAATAAAATTTTCATAATTGTTGCTTGCATGTATGTACGTCCATATTCAAGATTCATGTGAAATTATAAAATTTTTTAAATACAACCGCAGAATATAAGTATTCATAAAAAGTTTATGCACACATCTATTTTCATTGAATTTTGTGTGAAATTAAATTTTCTTTTTTAATAATAAAACCCCTAGGTGTCAAAATTTTACTACCTTTAAACTTGAATAAAAATAATGAACTTTTACTCAAATTTCATCATTAAATAATTTTAAGTCGCCATCTTCTAAATAACAATAAACATTTATTAGATATTATTTCTAAACTGATACAAAAATCAAATAACTGTGTTAAGCCTGGTTTATAAGTCTCATTATAACCCAACCATACACATATTTTTAGAGCCGTCTATAGACTTTGTAAGTATATTATGTTTGTTCTTTATATTGATTATCTAATATTGGATTTACTATTTACAAAATTTGAAATAAATTTTAGAACGATTTAGTAATTCAAATGAATAATACAACGGATAATGCTGAATATGCAGAACATTCAGATAATATGGTATTAGTGCAAGATATTAGTTCAGACATATCAGCAATTAGCAATATGGACAGTTTAAGTCCTGGTGAAATTTCATTCCAATCCTCTATATCATTGCCAAAAGGTGATTCTAAAAAAGTGCAGAGGAAAAAAAAACTTGAAAGGCTGGGTGGTAGTGTAGTTAAACCTTTTTATAAAATAATAGAAACTAATGGTGTAGAATTTTGGGCTTGCTGCCATAAAAGCTGTCAAAACATAAAATATCAGAATGATGGCTTTACATCAAACCATTGGCAACATTTAAGAAGTAGGCATCATATATCAAAAGCTATAGTAGAAAGTGGTTATGTAAATATTGTGCCAAAGGATAGCAAAACTTGTGAATTCCAAATATTAGCAGAATCATCACAAATAACAATTATACAAGTGTATAATACAACAGCTAAATATACACCCAATAATTCAAAACAAAAAAAGCTTGATAATCATATCGCTGTTTTTATTGTTGAGGATCTTCATTATTTTTTAGTACTTCAATCACAAGCATTTAAATGAATAATGAAGGATTTGACTCACAAGCTAATATGCTTAGTAAGGATCATTTAAAAGAAATTCTCCTTAATGCTGAGAATAATATTTTGTGAAAAATTTGGGAATACGCACTTGATGATAGTGAAATTTGATATATATCATATACTACAGATATGTGGATATCAGATAATGGTGACCCATATATTGGACTAACAATTCATTGGATCAATAATGACTTTCAAATAAAAGAGATGATCGGTAATATTTCATATCTTCCATATCCCATACCGCTGAATGTCTTTTAAATAATATTGTTGAAATTTTGAGCAATCTTCAGCTTATTAATAAGAATGTTTGTAGTGTAGTTGATAATGGTACAAATATTTGATTATGTGTAGAAAGATTAGAACAAAGAAATAATATACACAAAATTTTTGTTTTGGTTATACTTTACAGCTTGTTATAAATGCTGCACTAAAAAAATGCACTAAAATTACAGATTTAATAAAAAAATGTAGAAATGTTGTGTTATATTTTAGTGGGAGTCCTAAACAAAAACAATTCCTTTTGACAGCTCAAGTTGAGATAGAAGATTGTGATAAGTTTCTTTGTATAATATGAGATGTTTCTACAAGATGGAACTTTACATTCTATATATTAAACAGTTACTTATTCTTAAACCAGCACTATATAGATATAAATCTTTTTTAGCAGAAGCAAATGAACGTGGTTCTTTAAGAACTTATGAATAAAAAAAATATCATCAGATAATTGGAATATAATAACTGAATTGGTTAAATTATTACGTCTTTATGAAGTTGTCTTAAAACATTTATCTGGCTCAAAGTATCCAACACTATCACAAGCAAGATATGTTATTAACTTTATCAAGACCAAAATTAGTAATACAATAGTATATAATAATAATGTTCAAAACTTTGGAACTTTTCTATATGAATTACTTCAAAGATAGTTTTTAAAACCAACCAGGCTAATTCAACTTACTGTTTTTTTTGATCCATGAACTAAAGATATAGAAATATTAACAGAAGATGAAAAGCAAATGACTATTTTAGAAGCACGAATATAAAGAATTAGGTTCTTATAAATTAGATAATGAATCAGATACAGAGAGTCTACAAGATCCAACTGTATCTGTTAATAAAAATAGTAATGAAGATATCTTTTACTGTGGTAATGCATCTTCAAAAACAATCAAAACAGCAAGATAATAGTATTGCTAACAATGAATATGACTCATATTTGTTGCTACCGAAAGTTTCAGGTCAAATGGATGTACTTAGTTAGTGTGCATCAAGAAAAGCTGAATATCCAATACTAGCAAAACTTGCTTGCAAGTATTTGTCTATTCCAGCAACGTCAGTGCCATCTAAATGCCTTTTTTCAGCTGCAAGTTTAACTATTACTAAAAGGTGAACATGTCTTAATCCTGAATGTGCTGATACAATTTTATTTCTTAAAGTGGCTTTAAATCTTTGGCTGGTTTCTTATGTTTTTAAATAGGGTTATAGATAGCAAAAAAATTTTTATTTTTATTATATATGTATTGGTATTTTAGAAATAAATACCCAATATTCAATTTTAAATAAAATATATTTGCTTACACAATCATTTACAGACTGATATTTATTAAAAAAGCTAATTCTGAGTATGACTTTAATTTTTTGATCAGAATTTTAATCTCCCACTTATTTTCAAAATAATTCAAAGAACTTTTAACAATTACTAAATTATTATTATTTGACATATTATTTTTTAACCAATCTGGTAAGTTTTGATTTCAGCATAAAAATTTAATAAATCTATTATATATTAAGTAACTAAGGGGTGATGATAAACACTATGAGACAAAACTTGAAATTGATTGGCTGCCAGATATATATACTGTCATATAATGATTATACAAGATACTTATTTTTGAATTTTTTAAACTTTAAAGAAGTTTTTAATAAAATAACCTTTCTTGGGCTTCTA